GGACAAAAATCTAACCACCTCTCCCTACCTGCTGAAGAGACATCACCGACACAGGATAACATCTTCCAGATGTTCAGAGGGCCAGTCCCGCTGGAAGGACCTCCCATTCCTTCCCTGCCCTTGTGCCCGCGCTTCCCTCCCGTGCTCACACGTCTGCTTCTCGCCTGCAAAGGTTTTGCTCGATGAATTGAATCGGGGACGCCGGGTGCTGCGTGAGTTGAGTTGGTGGGAGCCATCGAGGGAGAGGGACAGGGACGGACGTCGAGGGGGTGATGTCTGCACTCGGCTGGGGGAATGCATCCCCCGTGGGTGTGCAGCCACAGCGCCTGTGTTGGCAGGCACAAGTGCTTCGCTGCCTGAAATCCACTGATACGAGAGAGGGGGTTGTCATCAGAGGCCTCAGTGCTCTGAGGAACTGGGTGAGAGCTCCGAAGCTGCCCAGGATGCTCCGGATGGCTCCATGTTCTCACTCCAACCTGCAGCAAAACACAGCCCCGTGGCTTCCTCGGATGCAGGGAACCATCAGCTTCCTGGGCTGGTTTCTGTGATTGCTGCTGTGGTCTGATGACCCCATCCCAGCCATTCCCATCCCGTCCTGTCCCATCCCATCCCATCCTGTCCTCATGCCCTGCGGTGGAGCAAAGGCCCTGCTCCACCACCAGCATGGGCTGACCTGCCAGCGCTGCGGGCTGGCATTTTCTAAGTGCTAATCCCAGGTGCTAACAATGCCAAGGAGGAAAGGGTGGAGGATATTTTTTTCTTGGCCTCCAGGGATTGAAACAGAAGAAGAAAGTCAGTTCTGCCATATCCAGTTACCGCAATGCAATCTAACGGGGCCAGTTTCACTGACAAATCTGACGGGCAGCCAACTTGCTTTGTCTTCCATGGCCCCAAGCCACTGAAGTTCAGAGGAGAGCACAACGCTCGCTTTTCTCAGGGCCTCCGTTGCTGCCCTCCCCGCCAGCCACAGAGCTGTACGCCCTCTCCTGCGGCACCTCTCCTCCCCAGGCCATCCCTCGCCACCATCCCGACTCCTCTCCCGCAGCACAACACCACACACGCTCTCAGGCATCTTCCAAACAACGTAGTGTTTAACCAGACCGTTGCCCAGCTCTCTTTTTCCAAAAACCCACAAATTTCCTCCCTTTCTCCTGATCACGGACACTTCCCTATCCCAATTCCCAGTCAATTCCTCATCTTCCTAGCTGAAAACAAAATAGCATCACTAGTGAGGCCGAATGCAAGAGTTCCTCCTGCCTGAAAAAGCAGCTTTGATCAGCGTCAGCTCTCAGTGCTGGCTGCAAGCTACAATCACCTGCAAACCAGTGCAAAACCCCTGCGGCATCACTGGGATAACTGGTCCTATATAGCAGCATTTCCCTTTCCAGGCAGGTTTGTCCTGCAGCACCTGCAGTTCCCCACCACAGGGAAATTTTCCACCAGCCCACCAGTCGGGAAACAAACCCAGGGCTCCCGTGGCGAGGGGCACGGCCCTTTCTGTCCCCCAGCCCACGCCAAACGCCACATATAGAAGGTGAAGGCTGCGAGTGCCTTGTCCTCACAGCCAGAGGAAAGCTCCCAGGCGTGCAAGCTTAGAGAGGGGTGGGGGGAACTATTTAACCCCTTGTTCAGGTCTCCAGAAGAAACCTTCATTTATTTCTCCTACAGCTGCAATTTTCATCTTTTTCTCCCCGTTTTCTCCCAGGCTCCAGTCAGGAAAGGACATTCCTATAATAAACACCATACACATCAGAAAGAGCTATCTCCAAGCGCTCAGGGGCTAGGTAGAGCTCGATCACTCAGCTGGGAGATCCAGGGTGCTGCTGGGTGACCTGGAATAGATAAGGAAGCAGAGCCAGAGCGGTCCGTTAAGAGGGGGATCCACACAAGCCGCTCTCTGCTTACGCTGCTGATACTCCTCGGCCCTGTCCCATCAGAGCAGATGCAAATCCAGCCTTGGACATGAAATCTGCCCATGACTACACAGATAAATAGCTGAAGAGTCTCCTTCTTTCACTCTCTGGCTCAGCCTGCCGTGAAAAAGTCGGGAAACCAAATGCTTCCCAGCCTCCCACGCACGAAGCACATACCAAATATTCTTAGTGCAGAGGTTAATAAATGTTACAGAGAAGTGGGATTGGCTCCCACTAAGGCAAGGCACAAGAAGAGGAGAGGGACTGGCACGAAGCTTTCTAGCTTAAAGCAAGCTATTAAAAGCTTTGCCAGGTGTAGAGAAGGCGATAAATACACCCAAATCAAATCAAACCATGAATTTTAACTGAGCAATAAACACGAAACAAACGGCTTGGGGCAAAACCTGCTTCTCGGGGCAATTTCCACACGGCAGCAAACTTTTTTTATTCCACAAGAACCAGAGACTGTTTAAGCTTTTGCACAAGAGGAACTGAAAGGAGCAAGAGTCCGGAGATCTCCAAAGGAAAAAAACAGAAGGAAAAAGAAACGCAGCCCGTGGGATCGCTGTCACTGCACCGGCCCCTCCAGCCGCCTTCTGGGAGTTCCACCTCTGCTCCCAGCCCTGCCAAAGGATGTCAGAGCGGAGGCAGAGAGAAAATCCCTGGCACCAGCACAGGTTTTGGCTTTGCAAGTAACACTGCGATTTCATGAAACACCCTGTTCCCTCCCAGAGTGCTCGGACCAGCCACCTGCCTTGCTCCTCCGGTCTCTACGTGACAGCTACTCCTCTTTCGCGAGCACAGCACGCCTTTCTCGGGGTTCGTGTTTTCCGTCTCGTCCCCTAAAACAGCCCAGCCGAGTTCCCAGGTATGCCCCTGCACTTCTCGCGAAACCAGCTCAAGCGTGGGGAGATGTGACTTACGTCTATCGAGCGTTCCCTCTGAATGAGTTTCCTGGTCTCCTTTTCGCAGTGATTGAGCATTGTGTCGCAGTTTTGCGGGCCAGCTGAGGAATTTTCTGTTTGGTTTTTCTGACTGAGCTCCAGAGGGATGCCTCCATCTGGATCCACCACATCCAGCTCCTTTTCCAGCTCTTCCATCTCCTCTGGAGACAGAGTAGACAACAAACTGTCAATGTCTGGATCTTCACTAACTTGTCGCCGATATTTGGCCACTTTGGACATCTTGGCTCGCTGGCGAGACACGGTTGCGGTTGTGTGTGGTACCCAAGGAAGGAGAAAAAAAAGAGAAGCCGAAGCTCCAACACTGCTTCCCCCAGCGGCAGCAGGTGCTGAAGTGTTAAATCTCAGCAGCTCTCAATCGCTGCAGCCCGGGATATAGTAGTTATAAAGAGGGGACACCCCTCGGTCCAAGAGTTGGCCAATAACAGGATCAAGCCGTGATTCGGGTGCTGGGAAGCCAATGGAGCCCAGCGGGAGGCGGGGAATGGTGCTATCAGAGGAGCCTGAAACCCGAGGACATTCCAGGGAACCATGCAGAGCTGCATGACCAAATTTAGTCCGGAGCATTTAGCCTTTTAAAGGCAATGGGCCAACCTAGTGAGAAAACACGCAAAAATGCACAAGCTGGCAAGCTGGGGAGCTGGGGGTGGGGGAGGCAGATCCCCAGCATGTGCCCATCAGTGCCGGAGGGCTCATAAAGAGGTCAGCGTGGCTCCGAAGAAGATACGGGGCGTCTCCTCCGTTACAGGAGGGGAGAGTTTCTGCTGCGGCAGTGACAGCTCTTGGCTGACAGCGCCCAGCCCAGAGAAAGTTTTCATCTTCCTCCCGCCGCTCTCCAGGATCCGTGCGGTTGGCCAAAGCGCGCAGCCCTTCGGGAGACTGGTGGCGGGTGGTTCTGCTGCTGGTGCAGACTGGTTCCTGCACGAAGGATGTGCAAAGCCTTTGAAGTGGGGAGGAAGCAGGCAGCGAGTGCCAGCCCGGCCCGGCGCCTGCTCCTCGCTCTGCAAAGCCTGACCCCAGCACTGTCCCTGGGTCACTTTATCAGAGCTTCTGCTGATTCCCTGTCCCCTGCAGGGCTGTTTCTGCAGCTGCTCTTCATCACAACACTCCCATTTCCCCTTGCCAAGCCCCAGAGACCCCCCTCCCTCCTTCGGCACGGACTAAAGTCCTGAGTCTCTCCTGCTTCTGGTTCAGGCAGCGCCCTACGGCTGGGCTTTGGTTGGAGGCACCTACTTTCCATCGATCTAATCCATAGAGAAGCTTATTGGCACCTGCAAATTCTCCCCGAGGGCAGATAGGCCCTTCTCTCCAAGTTTCAGGGCCGCTTCACCCCATGCACAGCATTTCGTACCCATTCGTTATGCTGCCAACTTCATCCTTTCGTCTCCATCCTTTACCACCCTCCTAATATTTACTGCCTGTTCTCAGGCCTCTCTCTTTGTCCAAGGTTATAGTGTAAAATGTGCCAAAAGGAAA